CAATCGTATCGAGTGTAGGTGTGGAAAACATGTTTGCTGGGTTTGTTTGGTATTCTTCAACAGCAGTGACGATTGCTATAACCATTTAAGGTCTATTCACCAGGCCATTATATGAGGTACAAATACCTATAATTCAATAACATAGGTGTTAATATCTGCTTCTGTATAAATTCCCGGACCCTTATATGTATATAAACAAATAAACAAGTAAATAAATGTATGTAGTATACACAATCGTAAGCCATCTTTATATCCCTAGTACAAATGTTTATTTCTGTAAGTTATGTGTTCAGAACTAACCCTCTTTTAAAGAGTTAAATGGTGACATTATGAGGATAACTTCTCAGATAATCTGTGCATTCAGTTAATTCCCTGCTTTCCAACGTAAATAGCAGTATAACATGTCTGATGGAGTTAACATTCTCGTAATGTGAGAAAGATTGTTTATGTGTACACCTTGTTTTGGTGGAGGGAGGGGACAAAAGAAGAAGAAAGGAAACAGAAAAAGAGAGAACTTTCTTGTTGTTCACGAAGGGGCAGATGTAATATGGTAGATTGTAGGTCTTTAGATAGGATCTATGAACATTGTGTTTTTCCAAGCTGCCTTTGATTGCTTAAAAAGGAAATATAACAGTCAGAATGACTGAATGAGATCTGAAACTGACAAGAGGTTAAAAATGACGCCTAAATCAATCGTTTGGCGATAATGGGATTATATTTTAGAGATTGGAGAAGAGTTGATTGAGGATTCTTATTGGAATCATGTTCTGTGTAAATATTGGGCCTAGTAAGGTTTTCCTTTTTTTTTTTTTAATTATTTATTATTATTATTATGTTACTTATTCTATATACTTATATTTGCCCGTTTGCATGACGTGATTGCATCCTGATGAGTGTTGATGTTATATTATAGCGTTAGTGTGATTGACTCACTGGTTCGTCTAAATTTACATTTGCGCGTAAGGCTCGTTCAGAGAGAAGTGCTTTACCTCTATTTAAAGATAAATGGATCTTATCTACCCTACCACACTTGTCTTATTACATTTGAGACAGATGTTGTATTATTATTGTACTCCTTAGAATATGCTTATGCACTTGTGACACCGGGTTTTGGGGTTCTTACGGGTTGTTCGTTATTATAGTTGTGTAAATTCTATTTCATACGATTTAATTGAGGAAAGATTTTGATTTCAAAATACAAAAAAAAGGTAATTAAGTTGATCAATCACCGTTGGGTTGCCTGACGGCGATGTTAGGCGCGATGACTACCTTTACCGCGTACCAAACGACCCCTTAATCCATAATTTCCAACTCTACTCGTATTTCATTGTTGTTTCAGAAAATAAGCCTAATAAGTGGTAAAGGAAAGCTGATCACGGAATTTGCTATTTTTTCAGCTAGGCATTCTGCGCAAATAACAGTGATAATAAATGAAAATTTCCTGTCTCTGCTATCCACTCAAGGACATTATGTTCGCTTTGTAAGAAACTTCATTGAAAGAGAAACTCCGAAATTTCCTTGCTTTCTATGCTAAACACTTACGTTTAGCATTCAGAAACATTTAGTAGTCTCACAGCTTTCAAATTTCAGTAGCAAAGACTAAAAAAAGTTTGAAGAAGAAGAAGAAAGATAAATGTATTTATTATGATGAGAGAAAACGTAGACTGAATAGGAAGTTAGCGATTAAAAAGATATGGCAAATTATGGGGAGGGTTTTTCGTTAAATCTATTTCAGTAAAGCGTATGATGTCGCTAGGGCGGCCTCATTTCGCCTTACCAACTCTGAATACAGGCTTTAAAATAATTGTAAAAATGATATTGTATAGCCTTTCTCAAAATAATAGCTGAAAAATGTATATTTTTTGTATATATATATATATATATATATATATATATATATATTATGTATGTTATATACAAATTTTATACACTTTTTCAGTTAATGAATATAAATAATTTCTGGCGTGGGCTAAAAATAATAATACTCCGATCAAAAAGATTTGTACAAATAGGGGCGGTGCCTTAGGGGAAGGGTGAAACCAACTGAGGAAGGTGATGCCTGGGAAGTTCATGTTTCAGAAGAAAAGAAAAATATATCATATAGATTCATAGTACACGTATCTATATATATAAAGGACAAAAACAATAAAGAATTTCAGCAGTATTTGATTTCGATTACATATTTCTAAATCGTAGTATTCTAAATAGCTTCTGTTCAAACGAGAAACAAAAAAAGGTCTATATCTGAACTCCCTAAGAAGGAACATGACATCTGGTTTAATTAGCATGTCATTATTTCAACTTCATATTATTCTTTTGGGTGACAAAGTTATGATTCTTGTTTTTCCATCCGGTATCTCTTTTTTAAGGGTCTCGGCTAATTCCGATTTGTGTCATGTAAAACTCGTTAAGAAAAAAAAAAAAGCTTCCTATCTAGATTTTTTCATTCTCATGATTTCAAATATGAGACCGCTGATAAAAAATGGAGAGATCCTATTCATCCCACCACACCCTTTGACGGTGAGACAGATTATTCTGGAGAAGTTAAGAGGCAGATTAATTAAAACAAGATCGTTCCTCGTTGGTTGGTTAGCGTATATATTTAAATATATCTTTATATATAGTTATATACATCATTTTTTTTATAACGGACTATGCTGACTTTCCAGTCAAAGAAATAACGAAATTCCTTTTTTTAAAAATAGAATATTGGCCCTACCTGCACCGACTACTGTACTGTGATCACCCATTTAATGAATTAAGGGCCAAAATATTAAAAGAAAAATCTACTTAGAATATATGCTTCTAACAATTGTGGAAGAATGTATTTTGCAGAAGCCCATTTCACCACTTAAACACTAGTTCTTCACTTAGTTGACCTACCTTTTGGTATTCGTTATGGACCAAAAGCCAAGTGTAGACATAGGGAAATATCAATGTGAAGAGGCATTTTTAAGTTTGGATAAAACAAATAAAAAAATTGAATAATATTGTAGCCAATGATTGTGCTTATGAAATTCTAGTAATTTTTATTTTTATTATATGTAATATTGGTTGTAAGAAGAACATAAACGAAAAAAATATGATCAGAGATAATTAGTATAGTTGATCGTAGAAATGATACCAGATAGCCACTTTAAATGGTTGCTATTTAGGAATTAGTCGGTGCATTCTGAATTTCAGTTTTTCAGTTTAATTTTTGAGGACAAAAATGTCCTGAATTATTCTGAAATTAAGATTTTTAGTTTAAAATTTTAGGACAAAATAAGTAATGGATAATCTCAAAATAGCATTCTTAAAAATAACTAATTATGCACTTAGATTCTTCTACTTTTTTCGAGAGTTCATAATTCCTCTGATGGTTCCGTTAAGTAAGCCACTGCCTAGAAGTCGTCGGTTCATTCTTTAACAAGCACGCTTTGACTTTGATGAAAAAAATCAGTTATTTATGGAAAAGACAGAGATTTAACTTATGGCCCTATCACTGCACAGTCCCCACCGTATACTGCCACCCTTCCAATAAGGCCAAATAACTAAAAGAAAAAGTCTACTAAAATAGTCATAGCTCTATATACTTTATTTATCAATTATCAATTGTTGGAAGATGTGGTTTGCAGAAGATAATTTAAAGACTAGCTTCTACACTTAGTTGACCTACCCTTTTGCTATTTGTGATGGACCAAAAGCCAAGTGTAGACATAGGAAAACACACCAAATGTGAATGGCATATTTTCAAGTTTTAGAAGAAAAACACTTAGAGCAGAAAATCTATCGTAAATAACTTTTCTATATGCATGACGTAAGAGTAAAGTTTATGTATATGTTATCCAGCTCAGACCCCACACTAATAAGAATACATTGGATATATTGTTGCTATCGGAGAAAACAAACACTGATTGAATGGTCATGTTGGCAATGCTTGTAGTTATGTTCTAATCTATTCATTTTCACTTTATTTGACTCAAATTTACAACTCAAGTATGTTTTAATTTATGTGACAGAGTTTAAATTGGGATTAAGTTCAAAAGGAAAACTTGACAGAGTTTAAATTGGGATTAAGTTCAAAAGGAAAACTTTTAAGGGTGTGCTTGGTATGAAGGCGGAAAATATTTTTTAATTTTTTCGTGTTTGGTATGAAGGCGGAAAGTGTTTGGTTGACTTAAATATTTTGAAAAATATTTTCCTTATGAATTCATTTTTCTCCAATTGGAGAAAAATATTTTCCTTATCAAGAGAAGCGAAAACATTTTCCAAAACTCCTTCTCAACCTTCCCCACCCTCACCCACCCCAATTTTTTTTTTTAAAAAAAATATTTTCAGTTTTAGTTTTTAATCTATGGTTTGCAAGTTTATAAAATTTGTAGGTTCGAAAGGTTATTGGTTCGAAAGTTTATGATTTCATGTTTATTGTATCTAAATTATTTATGAATACTCTTGAGAAGTTATTTTTCTTAATTTGCGTACCAAACACCGCAAAATGAATAAGATTACTACTTGTTTTCCAAGAAAACATTTTCCACGGAAAATATTTTCCGTTATACCAAACACACCTTAAGACTTGTAGTTTTAAACTTGTTATGATATTTGATGATTATAAAAGTATATTATTAAAGGTAAAATAAAATTTTAAAGTTAAATATTTTCAAATATAATGAGGCGTAAGTTGTTATTTCTTATGTACAAGAACAAACCAAAATAGCGACTTATGAATCAGTAGGATTACCTCAATCAACTAAACCAAACAAAATACAAAATAAAATGAAAAAGGAAACCACCATTTAATCCCCACTAATACATAAGATTTCACTGATTAATTCTACTAACTAACGTGCCTAACGGGTTACGATACCTTATGAATATTACTTAATTCATTCATTCTCTGAACTGTTTTAACTCTTACTTTAACTAAACAGATATAAACAAAAAAGCCTAATCAGTTTTTTTGTAGTTTTATTCATTATTAGTCCCCTCCACTTTTTTACGTGATTTAAGCCTCCACGACATCATTTTTTAACGCGTATAGTACGAGAAAACATCTCTTGACTTTCACAAATCTACCCAAAAATAACGAATCGAAAAACTCTTACAAAATTCTTCTCCTCATCCCCACCAAAAAACAAGTGAAAAAAAAACCTAAGCAAATTCAGACCAAAAATCCTCATACTTTTAGCTGCTTAGATGTAGCTTAATGAAACAAATTCCAAAAAGGGGTTACAATTTTCTTGGTTTCTTGAAAAAAATTTCATTTTCTTGAAAATTTTAAGGTACCAGTTTCACTCTATTTTTTTCATCTTCTTCAGTTGTTCTTTGTTTTTTTCTTTTTTAATGGCTTTGTATAGTAGGAAGATACTAGTTATAGCTAAAGATAAAATGGCTATTTGTTTAAATTGTTCACCAGAAAGATGTCCTACTGAATGTGGGGTTGGTCCATTTTTGCCCCCCCCTTCTAATCCTGTTACAAGTGAAAGTCATCATATGCCATTTTATTTTATAATTATGCTTTGTGTACTTGGGGCAATTTTTGTGTTTATTTGTTATATGATTACTCTTAAAAAGTTCAAAATGAATACAAGAAGAAGTTCTCAAGATTTGAGTGGAAATAGTGAAGATTTTATTGATGAAAATCAAGGACCAATTTTGGATCATCCAATTTGGTATATACATACAATTGGCCTACCACAATCGATAATTGAGTCTATACCTGTGTTTAGGTATACTAAGAAAGAAGACTTGATTGAAGGTACTGATTGTTCTGTTTGCTTAACTGAATTTGAAGAAGATGAAAGTCTTAGGTTGTTGCCTAAATGTAGTCATGCTTTTCATGTTCCTTGTATTGATACTTGGTTGGTTTTACACACGAATTGCCCCGTGTGTCGTGCTCCTATTGTTTCTGATTTAAATGCTGCATTACAAATGAACAATGTGGAAATTTCCTCTACTGGTGTAAATGATTCTAGAGCAAGTGATGTTAATCCAGTGGAGAATAGAAATAGTGGCTATGATTTGGATAATCAAGACTTGGTGGAAGAGGAAAGTCGCGAAATGAGGCTAGGAGGTGAAAATCTTGATGTATTGCCTAATGAAGAAGGGAAAGTTATTGGAATTTTGGAGAAAATACATGGTGTTTTAGATGAAAGGGGAAAAGGGTTGCGAGTATTTAGCGATTTAGCTGAGCGTTGTGTGAAAGTAAACGACGAATTGCAGCCAACACGGAGGTCTGTTTCAATGGATCCATCAGCTGTTTCATTAGTACATTTTGCTATGAATGAAACGAACTTGGAAAATGGCGAAGGGTGTTCAAATTTAGATGATCAATTGGTTGAAAAGACGGAAAATTCTGATATAAGTTCAAAGAAAGGAAGTAGAAATTCGAGCTTATATGAAGTGATGAAGAGTTCTTCCTTCGGTCGTTCACTGCAGAAAGTGCCAATTTGTATGATCAAAAGGTCCTTTTCTACTAATGGAAAGTGTTCAGTATCCACAAGTGAAAAAGAGGTCAAGAATCAAGAAAATCAATGTAAGTGAAATTCAAAGACTTTGGTTCTTGAATTTCAGAAGGGGTTCAAGTTTTTGCATTTGGAACCCTGTCAAAAAACATATTGGAAAATAATGTCCACTTAATAAGAACTTAGGAACAGCTCAATTGAGCTGATTCAGAATCTTCAAAGGAAAGTTCTTTGAAAGATGCAT